CTTGAGCTCAGGAGTTCAAGACCAGTCTGAACAAAAGCGAGACCCCATCTCTATAAAAAATAGAAAAATTAGCAGGCCATGGTGGTGCATGCCTGCAGTTCCAGCTACTTAGGAGGCTGAGGCAGGAGGATCGCTTGAGCCCAGGAGTTTGAGGTTGCTGTGAGCTATGATGACGCCACTGCATTCTAGCCCAGGTGACACAGCAAGACTCTGTCTCAAAACAAAAAATGAATAATAAATAAAAATAAAGATTATCATCCCCATTTTACAGAGAAAGAAACTGAGGCTCAGAGAGCTAATGTAACTGCTTCCAATCACAAAGTTGGTAAGACTTGAACCCAGGTCTACCTGACTCCAAATCCAAGGTTCTGCCCCCAGCGGCCCACCTAAGCTGTCCCATGTTCTGTTTGTAGCACATGTTTATAATTGCAGTGGGATAGTCAATACCCGTCTGCTTTCCTTCTGGGAAATTAACAAGACTGGCCTCTCTTTTTAGGGTCTAGGAAATGCACACTCCCCATGAGAAGGGGAAAAAGAAGATACAATCAGGTTACTTTCAAGTCTTCCTTTTCTCTCTTGTTCTTTTTTTTTTTTTTTTTTTGAGACAGAGTCTTGCTCTGTTGCCCAGGCTAGAGTGCTGTGGCGTCATCCTAGCTCACTGAAACCTCAAACTCCTGGGCTCAAGCAATCCTTCTGCCTCAGCCTCCCAAGTAGCTGGGACTACAGGCATGCACCACCACGCCCGGCTGGTTTTTTCCATATTTTTAGTTGTCCGGCTAATTTCCTTCTATTTTTAGTAGAGACGGGGTCTCGCTCTTGCTTAGGCTGGTCTTGAACTCCTGACCTTGAGCGATCCTCCCTCCTCAGCCTCCCAGAGTGCTAGGATTACAGGCATGAGCCACCGTACCTGGCCATTGTTTTTTTGAGCTTGAAAGCAATTGTGCTTTGTCAACTTAACAAAACTCTGCTCCAAACCCTTTTTGCTCACTAAGCATTTGGAGATCTTGGAGGCATTTTAAGGGTGAACCTGGAAATAGCTTTTCCAACCCACGAAGCCCAGTCCCATATTTGCCAGTGACCCACTGTTTGGCCTTTGATCAAAAAAAAAAAAATTTTTTTTTTTTGAGACAGGGTCTTGCTCTGTCACCTGGGCCTTAATCAAATATTTGACCTTGGATCAAAGCTCCCTGGGATTCAGGAAGAGACTGAGATTGAGACTGTCAAAGCATAATCTGAAAAAGAGGAGCTTGTCAGAAACCTATGGAACAAATATAAAGCAATAACTAAAGGGTACATTACCTGTGCAAAATATCAGTGGCATAGATCAGAAATAAAAAACCCAGCTACGAATAAAAATTTACCAATTGACAACATTTCTCGAAAGATGTATAAAGAAAGCGTTTCTTAGTAAGAGATGGACAAGAATAAAATCCAGATGGGGTAGAGGATTATATGATTTCTTTTATCATAGCAAAAGTAGTAGGAAATAGAGGGGCATATTTATGAGATCTGGAGAGGGATGGAAACTCTCTCAGGCCTGAAGCAACAGGAAGAATCAAGAAGGAAAAGCCCAACAGATTTGATAGAAAAATAAGTTATTTTTACCATAATATTACACTATGACAACAGATTGATATTTATGTTAACTTTAAAATATATGTAAATATTGGCCTGGCATGATGGCTCATGCCTGTAATCCTAGCACTGTGGGAGGCTGAGGCAGGCGGATCGTTTGAGCCCAGGAGTTCGAGACCAGCCTGAGCAAGAGTGAGATCCCGTCTCTACTAAAAAAAAAAAATAGAAAGAAATTAGCTGGACAACTAAACATATATATATATATAAAAAAAATTAGCCGGGCATGGTGGCGCATGCCTGTAGTCCCAGCTACCCGGGAGGCTGAGGCAGTAGGATCGCTTGAGCCCGGGAGTTTGAGGTTGCTGTGAGCTAGGCTGATGCCACGGCACTCTAGCCCAGGCAACAGAGTGAGACTGTCTCAAAAAATAAAAAAAATTAACAAATAAAATAAAATATATGTAAATATAAAGGAATAAAAAAAATTTAAGTAAATATTTAGGAAAACCATCAAGATCCCAGATATATGAAAAGATAATTCCGTTGAGGAGAAGTTAAAATAGGAAACGAACACATGGAACATCAGGGGTTGAACTGACGACCTACAGGTTTCCTGCCTGCGGTAACTTCTGGGCCCCATGGGGAAGAGGTGGGAGAGTGAGGAGGGATGGCGTGGCTTGGCCCTGCTACACCCCTGCTTGAGCAGACCAAACGCCAAAACACCAGATGGGCCAGGGAAACTTCCAAGGGACTGGGTCACCTGCTTTTTTCACCTCCAATTCCCACAAAAGGCATCCCGGCCATTTAGTTGAAGCATGACCACATAGGATGAACAAGACCAATGTCATGGCTTCAAGCCCATGGGGTCCACTTAGCTTCATTCTGGGTCAAAGTTACTCCACATACTGAAGAACCAGATGGCAGAGAGGGATTGGTCCAATTCCATCCCTAACGCCTAGAAAACAGATCCCAGTTTGAAACTGGGTGACCACTGGTGTCTGCTTGACCCAGGAAGGGAGGAAGGACATGCCTCCCATTCACGGACCTCTGGAAGGTGAACTCCGGAGCCACATTTGCTCGCACGGACTCTGACAGGTGTCATGTCCTATTACCACAGTTTGACCTGGTAGGGCTGCCCACTTCTGTATGAAATGTTGGGCAGGCTGCCTCCCCCTCAACCAAACTTTTCTCTCCTAGATCTACCAAGTTCACCAATCACCAAATCCTACGTTTAGGCAGGCCCAGAGGACGAAGCAAAACGGATAAAACACTTCAGCTTTCGGAACAACCTGGCACCCTTCCAAGGTCACGTGTCCATTTGCGAAGCTTCATACCTACTCCTCCTTCAGCCCTACAGGGGGAGCGGTCCAGGGACGGCTCAACAAAGTAGGGGGCATGAAGGCAGAGGGACGAGACACCTGCCAGAGGTCAAACCCACACTCAGGAGCAGCTCTCCTCTGACACCAAGCACCAAAGGAAGGAAGATGATGGAAAAGTCTTCTAATGCCGCCTCAGGGATGGGGAGTAGACATCAGGCAGAACTTATTGTAAAAAAAAATTGTCCAGAGTAAGTTTTGGTAGTTTCTTTCCTAGAATTAATCTTTTGTCTGTCCAGAATGGTTGGGCCTCCCAGAAGCAGGGGGATGCTCTTTGTGACACCCAAGACCTCCCGCCAGTTGGAAAAATTGGATTTTGCAGACCACTGGCTAATATTATGTGCTACGTGTTCTCTCTGCTCCCTCGAGTTCCAAATTCTTCCTACTAAAGTTCGCCTCCATTCACTCAAATGGTTTATTTTAAAATGTAAACACACACCCAGAAGGACTGGCAAAGGAAATTAATCAAATGAGAAAGACACAGACAGAGGAAAAAAAAGAATGATACACTTTGTTCTAGGTTTTCCTTCTAAATCTGGCAGGAGGTGTGAAGGGCTGGCAGCTTGTTGGTAGTGGCAGCAGTGGCGGCAGCGGGTCCCCTCCTGCCTCGGGGCGTCAGGCCAGCAGCTGCTGCGCTCTCAGGAGTGGAGGGGGAGTGGGTGGCACTCAGGCGCCAAGGGAGAGACGCTCTATCCTGTCGGGACAGGAGCTGGTAGATGCTCCTCCAACCACAGCCAGGCCTCGTGGTTAATGTGGGTGACAGCCCCAAGCGCTCGCCCCAGGCCTCTCACACTGCACTTCCACGTCTTCAGTCCCACTCGGGCATCTGCATTTGGCGGACTCCTCAAATGGAACCTGCCTGAAACCGAAGTTGTCATTTTTGCCAACCCCTCCCCTCACCACCGACGTTCCCTTTCCCGCCTAGGTTCAGAATCTCAAAGCTAGACATGGAGTTCTTCTCATCTATTTAGGTCTACTGGGATCTTCGAGTTCTCCTACCACCGTGTTCCTCTACCTTTCCATTCTCATTGTCACCTTCCAAGTCAAGGTCCCTGTCCCCATTCACTGCTGCAGGCTCCTGGCTAGTTTCTCTCATCCTGCAATCCATCTCACCCCTTCCCACCGGCACACAGGAGCTTTCTGAAACATGGCTTAGACCTCCTAACAACCCTGCTAAAAAACTTCCAAAGGCTTCCCCTGCCTGCAACAAAGGTCTGGTTCAAGCTACTTTTTCAGCTTTGTCTCCTCCTCCAACCCAACACATTCCCTCTGGCCCAACCAGACCAGTCTCTTCAAGTGGCACAAACTTCATGGCACAATCATTCTCACTCGAGGACTGCAGCACTCACTATCCTCCCGTGGGACGAAGAGGGAGAAGGAAATACACAACAGCACCCAACATGAGTACCAACCAAAGAAGAGAACCATTTCCTCGCTGAAGGTCAAATGTCCATCTCCAGATTCAAAAGCCAACACTTGGCACTCCTGACGCCATTTCTTCTACCTATGCTCCAGGCATTGCAAATAATCACACGCTATTTCCCCTCTGTGACCTCCCAGCACTCTCCCACCCGTACCTCAGAATTAAAGAAACAAAATCAGCCTTCACAACAGCCCATATTGTGAGTCATCCCCCGCCCCCCCAGAATGGTAGAGATTTACTTCAGTGGTGGCCACGGTGGAGGTAGAAAGGCAGAGGGATTGTCAACCCAAGCCCTTGCCCCCTGCTCTCCAGCCCCCTACTGCAATTGCCTGGCAGACAGAGAATTTCCCAGGCATTCAATGCATATTGTCCAATTTCTACAAGGTATAAACCCAGCTCTGCTGGAGTTAGAAGGAGGAAGGGGGGAGGGATCCTCTCAGGGGTGCCCATCGCTTCCTCCTGATACCTGGAGAGCAGTGCCATTCAGCCCCAGAGATGCACTAAGCCACACCCCCAGCCCACGTCACCATCTCCAGAGCGTAGAGCGAGGGAAGCCCACGCAAGCAGGGAGACTGAGACTGATTTCAGGGGGAACTGGAAGGAAGAGGGGGATTTAACTGCTCACATACCTGATCAAACAGGACTTTCCAGTGCTGGTAGAGAGGAAGGCCATGCAGGAGAGGAAGAAGAGGGGAAAAGAAAGAAAGACACACTTATCATCAAAATCTCTGCAGCCCCCTGATGTTTCTGACATAGCCTTCCAGCTGCTGCCCAGGAGTCACCACCAGGCTCAGGGACTGGCCACAAGACACGGGGGAAAACCTGGGAAGAGCTCCCCAAATGACTGAGCAAAGAGACTCACAGTAGGGGATGGGAGAGGGGGGTGCTCCTAGGGACTGCGAGGTGGGTGTTCCTGGTTCTGGGACAGGCAGGCAAGGGATGAGAACATGGGTGATTCTCAATAATTACCAAATAAAGACATCCAACGATGTCCAAGCATCTCTAATAATTCCTGCTGCCTAAAGCCTATGTCCATGGCTACTCCCAGGCCTCGGAATGCATGCCCAGGTGCAATTCCCGAAGACCCTGCTGCAGCGGGTCTCGGCCTGCTGGGGGCCAGAGATGTCTATTCAGGAGAACTAACCCCTGTATAAACACTAACATTTTCTTGCAGGGTTTTTTTTTGGGGGGGGGGCTTCCGAATGCGCGGAAACCTACCCCTTCTCTTCCAAGACTGAGTCTAAATGGTGAGTACATGAGATTCTACGAGGGGTTCAGGACCAGAAGGAAGTGACAGGTTTAACCACAGAAGCCAAACAGAGAAGATCTTAGACTGCCCGCAGCCCCATTTAGACTTTCCAGCTTTGGTTTTGTAGGTTGGGGGGCCTGGTTTCACTTCCATCTCTTCACCCCGAGGGAGGGATGGGGCAGGGCAGGGTGTCTGTCCAGTTTTTCACCTCTGTTTGTAGGTTAACCCCGGGAGGGAAAAGCTTAAGAAACTCCAGTTCCCAGGGCTTCCCAGTGCCGGCTCCGCCGATGGCTCCCGGGCCGGAGGGATGGAGACCTGAGCAGCAGACGGCGGGGAGGCTCTCGGGCAGCCCCCACCCCATCCTCGCCCAGGGGACCGTCCCTGGCCCCCGCGCGGTCTTGGACTCCTGAGGCCCTTCTGGGAGCAAAACGGCTCCCAGCACTCCTCCTCTCCCTGCTCCGGCCGGGTTCAGGGACAAGGACCAGCGTGAATTTCAATCAGTGTCGCGACAGGGCAGGTGCCGGGCGGGGGCCAATCCCGGAGCCGAGAAGGGGGTCGCCAGACTGGTCTGCGCTGCCAGGGACCCGGGACTCTGCGGCGCCCGCTCCTTCCCCGGCTCGGAGAGCCCGCAGGTTGCGAGTGGGAGGGGAGGGGGAGTCACTGCTGTGACGCCGCCGCCTCTGCGGGAAAACGCCGTGTCCCGGGCACTGCACCAGCGGCGGGGAGCGGGCTCCCGTGGCCAACGGGTCCCCGGCGCAGCAGCGGGGGCTGGGTCCCGCAGGGAAGCCGCGGGAACCCAAGCGAGGAGGGGCTGGAGCGCGTGCGTTTCGGGGAGACCGGTCCCTCCGCCTCCCTCCCTCCCGCGGGGACCCGGCCAATCCGGGGCGCTCCCGCATCACCTTGAAACCTCCAAGTTGCCCCGGGGGGCGGGACGGGGGGCAGTTCTCTCCCCGGTGCCCCCCAGAAAGTTTGCCCGGGCTGGGGAGGGAGCACTCACGTCCTCCGGCGCCGCGGGCAGCCGCTCCTCGGCCTCGGGTTCCAGCTCCTCGATGCGCTCCGCCTCGGCGCAGGCGGCCACTGCGGGGCCCGGGCTGGGGTGCTCGCCCATGGCCGAGGCGCGGTCCAGGGGCGGCCGGCGGCTGCGGGGCTCGTCCCGGGGCGCTGGGCTAACTTTGCGCCTGGGCGGCCGCGCCGCTCGGGGGGCTCGGCCCGTGCCGCGCCGCCTCCGCGCCAGCCCTGCCGCCCGCTCCCGCCCCCATGGCCCCGGCCCCCGCGCCGCCGCCGCCCGCCGCCGCCTCCTCGCAACCCCGGGACACCCGGCCTCTCCGCCGCCAAACTTCTCCGCGCTCGCGGCCCCGCCGGCCTCCGCCTCCGCCCCGGCCCCCGCGCCCGGCTCCGAGGCGAGGGCGCCCTTGGGCCGGCCCGGGCCCCGCCGCTGCCCGCGCTCCCTTCCCGCTTCCCGCGGCCCCCGCGTCTCCTCCTCCCCGCGGACTCCTCGGGGGCGGCGCGCGGGCGGGGGCGGGGCTGCTCCCGGGGACCGCCGTCCTCCGCCCCACCGCCCCGGGCGCCACCACCCGGGCCAAATCGGTCAGAGCGGCGCGGCCCAGGGAGGAGGGAGGGCTGCGGCGGTGTTGGCGGAGAAGTGGCTGCACTGCCCGGGGCGGGCACGGGGACTGCGCGGTCCCTGGCCCCATCACCAGCAGCCTCGACTCCGGGCTCTAGTTTATCGCTCCCACGGGGGTAACGATCTCTTGGAGGCGGCAGATGTGTGAAGGAGACAGAAGCGAGGTTTTCACTAAGTTGGCAACGTCAGGGTTAACTAGGAGTGACTTGGCGGGGATGCTGTGAGGATGGGATCCCCCCAACCACCCTCTTGTCTCTTCACTGCAGTCTCAGATTCCGGGAGGTCCCGGGAGGCCCAGGGATGGGGGAAGTCAGATCTTCTTGGAGATGGGGGGGTCCTGGGCCCCAAACCCTAAGTCTTGCCGTCCCTACACCCAGAGCCATGTGACCATGCCTGGGCTTCATTTGCCCACATTGGCAAAGATAAGCCCAGGGAAGTGCCCCACCTGGGAGAGGGCAGGTAAAGAAACGAAAGCAATCAGGAATGAAGTTAATGAAAAGGAGTAGGGGATCTTTTAAAGAAAAAAACCTGATGCTTTTCCCTGCAGGAAAGAACCCCCAGGAGGGACTATCTCCTGCAGCAGAGGCTCTACCTGTAAACGGTGCCAGTGGCCAGCTGGGACAGGTGTCCAGCTCTTCCCAGGTTGGCGAAATCTCCCCAGCCCCACCCCCACCCCGTCAGTCCCCAGCCTAGCCCACGCCAAGGCTGCGTCCTTCCACTCCCCTTCCCTTCCTCTTCCCACCACCCACTCACTCACTTGCCTTTGCCCCTCTCCTTCCTCTCTGAAACTGAGGCTCTTTTCCATTAGTGAAAGTTGCAATTAATGCTTGCATCTTCATAAAGCAAGCACATCACCCTAGCCCCAGGATCTGACCTGTGACCATCTCACTCAGCAATGACTGCTCCCTTAAACACAGAGAAGGAAATTAACTCGATTCTAATTAGGTGAGTTTGCTACAGACACCAATTTTCATCTCGGTTTCAGAAAGTGTGATCATTTCAACTATTTTTGTTTCTCACCATCCTCCTCCCCATCCCTACTCTACTAACAAGTCAAGATCCTGCCAAGATTTCCTTGTAAATAAAACTGTCTGCATGGGGTGCGATTTTGAAAACAGCCTTCAGGGGACAGAAGAGAGGGTGACTCCTTTGTGGAAAGAAGCCCAGAAAGCTTAGCCGATGCTGGGGGCCCTGGGGTCAGTGTCGCTGCCTCCCTCACTCACTGCAATCATGTGCATGACCTGTATGGGTGCCGGCTCTGTTAAACTTAGATCTCTGGGACTGCAGAAGTGGCCAGGAAGCCTGGTTCCAGGGAAACTGGAAGGAGAAGGGCACGGAGAAGGGCTGGCCACTCTGCTGGATGCCCAGCAGCTCTCGGCATTGGTCTGACTCCAGCTGCCCCTTGGATCCTGCCTCTTCTCCAGCCCGGGGACAGCTCTTATCAACATACCCAACTCCATCATTCCTTTAGGTGGAAGGGAATTTATTAGCAGGCTCGGTTCAGTCCCTGAACATTTATGGAGCTTCTACTAAGTACCAGTGACAGAGCTTTGGGAGTACAGGGATGGATAGGACTCAGACCCTGCCCTCCAGAAACTGGTAATTGGGGGTGACAGCCATGTTCAACACAAGGATTAGTCCTGGACTCAAGGGAAGCTCATGGGGTATAGAAGTCCAAAGGAGGGGGTCCCTGTGGGCCCAGGAAGGCCTCCCAAAAGATATTCCCCCAGAACCAGACACCGTGGGAAAGGTATAGAGGAAGCGTTCCAGGCAGAGGGAACAGCCCCACCATGGGAAGAAGCATTATATGGGAGGCAAGCTACAAGCAATTTGGCATGGCCAGAAATCAGAGCAAGGCGCCCAAGGTAAACAGCCCAGCCTGGAGGGGAGGTTTGTGAAGGGCTGTGAGTTTCATGAGAAAAGAACTTGGACCCTGAGGGCAATGGGGAGCCATTGAAGGATTGTGAGCAGGAGAGTAATATTTTAAAAGAGCCCTCTGGCTGTAGCGTGGAGCCTAGACAGAATGGAAGTTGGCCTGAGCATAGGGACATGGAGGTGCTGTCCAAGGAAGAGGTCATGAGGGCAGCAGCACCTAGAATGAAGGGGAGAAGGAGGATCTGAGAAGTGTCCAGAAGGGGATGTTGTTCTTCCTTTGCCACTGCCATTCCCTCTACCTAGAAACTCTTCCATGGTCTCTACCTGGAAGTTGCCCCATCTTTCAAGACTTAGCTCAATAGCATGCTCCTGCCCCTCTGAACTGAGTTTGACCCCTTGGGGTTTGAGCTATTCTTCCCCAGGCTCTTGTCCTGTTCTGCATTGACTCCTGGCACCTATCCCAGCTGGTCACTGGCACCGTTTACCCCACCTTGGCAGACAGTGTTCCCGAAAGTCTCCTAAGAAAGAATTCCCGAACTTTCACCAAAATCCTCCCTTTAGGAAACGGCTTCCCTCTCTCCAGCCCCTGCTGGAAGGAGAATGGCCATCTGGACTTGGAGACTATTAGGGCAAGTCGTGACATCCAACATCCTCTGTGAACCTGAGGCCACCCTCTCACCTGTTGTCCTCAGTGTTGCCTAAGCCTAGCTAGCCAGCTCACTCTGCCCCTTCCCCCCTAGGTGAATCTGCAACTAGGTATGACCCACTCCCCATCAGGCGGTGGGACACGAGGCCTAGAAACCTCCAGGGATGGGAATGGCTGGGCTACCAGATCGCTTTTATTCCACTCTATCCACTCTAACCTAAGACAGCCTAAAGACTGGCACATTCTGTACCATATTAGGGACACAGGAGGGAATGGGCATGCCGGCGACTCGCTTTCACTGAATGGCTGCCATGGGCCAGGCACTCGTGGACACCTGGGCGTGTGCTGTGCACGGGCCCCGCCCTGGGAGAAGCCTTGGGGTCTAGTGAGAGATGACAGCAAACTCATCGGCATTTATACCCTGCTCTTCATTTTGTAAGTGCTCCACACCTGGGACCTCTCTTAAAGTTCCCCAAAAGACACTCTTGAGTCAATACAGAACAGGACAAAAGCCTGGGGAAGAACAGCTCAAACCCCAAGGGGTCAAACTCAGTTCAGAGGGGCAGGAGCACACTATTGAGCTAAGCCTTGAACGGTGGGGCAGCTTTCGGGTAGAGAGTGTGGAAGGGTTTCTAGGTGGCGCAAACGGCTGTAGGGCGGACACAGAGCTAGGAAAGCTGTTGACCATATTGGGAACCACTCAGTGGGGGAGCACAAAGTAAGGATGGCAAGGCAGGTGAAGAGGACCACGTCGCAAGAGTCCTTGTGCGCCAGTCTGAGGAGGTTGGACCTCACCCAATGGGCAGTGGAGAAGCATTTTAGGAAGATGAAGCTGGCGGCAGCTCAACAGCGCCATTCGGCTAACAGGTGTGAGAGCCCGTTATTGGCCGGACCCTGGCCCAGGTGCTGAGAACACAAAGGGGATAAGACCCAGGCCCTGGCCTCCTGGGAGAAAATTAGGTAGTCCTCTAATTACAGCCAGGCGGATAAAGGGGAGGAGAGAGGGAAGAGCCTTTTGGGGGCTGAGTCTCCCCAATGTACCCTCCAAGAGAGGGAGGAGGATTTTTAAGGACCTGATGTTCTGGACCTGGGAGCGGGGACAATGGGCTGCCACTGAAACGCCAGGAGCAGCCGCTGGGAGAGGTGGGGGGTGAGGGGGCTGAGCACTTTATTTGTGGATACCTCCAGCTAATGAGAAGCCAGGGAAGAAACATTAAGGGCTGTAATTACTGCTCAAAGCAAATGGCAGTGCCCAGAACGGGGGGAACAGGGGGTGACTTTTCTCCTCTTCCGCTCGGGCCTCTTCTTCAACAACAGTCTCCCACTCTGACATGGCCCCAGCCAGGCCCACAGCCTCCGTGCCCAGTTTCTCTCTCTAAAGCCAAACTGAACCCAGGCTGAGCCCTGCAGTGCCCTCGCCCCACCTGTAGCTCCTCGCTTCTGAGAAACCGGCAGACCAGCCCTGGGCTGCCGCCGTTTGCCTGCCTGAGATGAAGACGTAAGTTATTTTTGACTGAGATCCAAGCCCGGGCCCTGAATTCTTTTGTCTTGCAGGAATCCCCCAGTCATGTTTGAAGTCTGCAAGTCCAAACAGCAGACGTAGCTCAGGGAGGTGGAATCCAACAGCCTCCATCCCCATCTCCAGCATTCTTCCATTGTTGCCTGCCGTCTGCCAGATCAAACAGAGCGAGACTGCTAACCGGATTTTTTTTCCCCTTTCGTCTCTTCCTTTCACTCCAGGGCCCCCAATTTTCTGAGTGACTTAAATCATTACCGAAAGATGTCTAGGTTCACAGACCAAAAACCCTTTCAAAGAGAGGCGTGGGCACCCAAAAGTTGAGCTCAGAAAAGCACAGAAGAAACTTTCCTGGTCCCAAGATTTAGCTGATCATACAGTCAGGGAAACAGCTGCTTTGCCCGGTCTCACTTTCCTTCCTTGCCATCTCCTTGGGGCTTGGCTGGTCCCCAGGG